GAACGCTTCTCAACTTCTCCCCGAGTGGGACTGACCTTCCTTGTGTGCTGCGGGACAGTCGCGGGGCACAACTCCCTGGCCACGCCTCACGGTCACGCTCCGGTTCCTCGACCTCCAGCAGGGTGCTACGTGAATCTTAGGATGGGACCGCATGCATGGGTGCAGCGACCCGATCCCCATCCCCGGGCCGGGGCTTCAGTGACAAGACCAGCCGGCCTGCTAGCGTGCTCTGCCGGGATGCGGCTGGGACGCGGGAGAGAGCCGGGTGCAGGGAAACGCTGTGTCATCCTCCAGGAGCCGCCGCGCTCCTCCAGAGAGTCCCAAGCGCGACCCAGTCCCGCACTCGTTGCTCTCAGGCGCTGCGCAGCGCTGGCCCCCGTTCACACTGCTCGGGCTCTTCGGGGTGCACCGTGACTGTGGTTAGCCTATCCCCCGGACACACAAACCCAGGAACCCGGCAGGGCATCCACTAACTCGGCCATGGAACCGGAGATCCAGGTCTGTGAGCCAGGGGCCTGGGAGCGCATTCCAACACCGCAGACCCTCTGGCTGCCTGCAGAGCAGAAGTGATCCTGGGCTTGCCAGGAGTGGGGGTAGCAGATGTGCCAGAGAGAACTTTGAAGGAAGAAAGGAAATGCTACCAAGGTGGATGCAGTTTGTGTGTGTGTGTGTGTGTGTGTGTGTGTGTGTGTGTGTGTGTGTGTGTGTGTGTGTAGGTGAGACTGGGTCCAAATTCAGCCCCCAACCTCACAGAGTTGAGCTTTCTGAAAATGTCCCTAGAGTTTTAAAATGGGACTTGATTTCTTTTAAAAATAGACTGTCTCAGCATGGAGGAATCTGGAGAGAATTAATGTCCCAGCTAGTGTAAAATGCCACCTATGGCGACTCGGTTAGGTGTGCCTGTGCCTGGCCTTGAGTGACTCTTCATTTCTCTCCACCCCTTATTCTGCTCATTCTTCAGCCAGGCAGGCGCCCCGCATTGGGAAACACTTGCTGCCTTTGGAACCACCACCCTGTGGTCCTATCAGAACACCAAACTCCCTCCTGCACCCCCAGTGGGAACCTCGCAGCTTATTCCCAGTGGCCCTTCAACTCTGAGAAAAGGGGTTGATCTTACCCAGGGCCAGATAGGCTTTAATAACATGCCCTGAGTAAGGGTTTCTTTCCCTGGTGTCTGGTATCTGGGTGGCACTTGAGACATCCGTTTACCCAACAGGCATTTACTGAGTACCTTTTATTGGCTTTCTGCACTGGGCTATTTGCTCTGATCACTGGTGGAGTGTGTTTGAAGAGGTGTAGTTCCTGCAGCTGTACATATCCGTTACCTCTAGCAGTGAAGTATGCCATTACCTCTGCGAGGTTCCCACCGCTGGCAGCATAGTGGCCTAATAAGAAAGGGTGCCCAGGAGATCTGATTCACCCATGCTGAGAACTTCTTCTTCTTCACACCTGCCCCTCCCTCTGCAAACAGCTCAGCCTGCCACCCAAGTGCCAGAGTCATAAACCTAGATTCTTCTCTATACTTCCTTGCTCTCTCAATCCAGCCAGAGGCTGTGATTGCTTCTCCCCAACAAGTCTCATAGCTACCCTCTCCAGGGCTAAGCCAGACCCCACCATCTTGGGCCAATATGGGGGCCTCTGACAGATCCCCCGGCTTCCTGTCCGGTTCTGGCTCTCTTCCAATTCTTCCCTTCTCTCTGAGGCAGAGTCCCAGCAGTGCAGGTCTGATCAGGTGATTCCCATACTCACAGCATCCTTAAATAGCCTGCAGTGGTTTTCTCTACTTTTGAGATACAGACCTCACATCTGAAGGCACCCAAAGTTCTGCAGGGCCCACTCCTTGACCTCTGACTCCCTACTTGCACCCTTCTTTCCGCCATACTGGTTTGTTTTCAACCCTTAGACCTATTCTATTCCCTCCCATGCCTGGGTCACCCATGGAACATCTCTCTTGTTCCCGCTCTCAACTCTTTCCCCCTCCTCCTCATTCCTACTTTATCAACAAAGTATCACCCCCGCCCCCAAGCCTCATTTGTTACCATGGCTTCTTTGTTACACTTGCTGTCTTCTTTGTTACCATGTTTTCCACTTTTGATCATATAATCCATGGTATCAGGGCTGTGTCATGTTGTGCTCCCCTTAGGTTATCACATTAGCATAATGTCTAGTGGCAGAAGGGTGTCACAGAGCTTTGTGAATGAATGAGGCTCTGCAATGGGGTTTGTGGAATTGAATGAAATCGACTTTTGAGTCTGTGATTGGTTAAATTTTACCTAAATTGTCCCTTAGGAATCTTGTAAAATGGCTACATGTTCCACTCTTTCAGGTAATTCTAAAGGCAGAGTAGTTTGTCATATATATTCTGAGTGAGCAAGGTCCTTCAGGGCCTGGTCTCTGAACTATGTGGCTGAGGATGACCTTGAAAATCTGGTCCTCCTGTCTCTACCTCCTTGCCTGGGCCCAGCCATCTTCATCTGGGTCCTGCATCCTGTTCTCAGTATTTGGCATACAGTAGGTATCTAATGACTGCTGAGAGTAGCCTGCACTGGCCTGGCAGGTGTCTGCTGACAGTGGTTCATAAACCATGGTATATTCCCAGCATGCTCAGATCCTCACCTTTCATGTTGTGTGGTCTGGTTCCTCCACCCTCCATCCCACCCCATCGTCGTCCTATTTACCATGTAGACAAGGATGTCACTGAAGTTCTGATCCTCTTGCCTCCACCTCTGTAGTATGGGGATAGCAAGCATTCAGCACCACACCTAGTTTTATGGGGTGCTGGGGGCCAAGCCCAAGGCCTTGTGCATGCTAGGCAAACATTCTAGCTGAGCTACAGCACTGGTCTGAGTGCTTTGGGTAGGACTGGGAACTGAGGCCTTCCTTTCTCTCTGGAAGCCCTTCCCTGCTCAGAGTTCTCTCTGTGAAGGAAGGTAGTGGGAGGGCAGCACTGAGCAGGATAAGATCGTAGACAAAGGGTGATAGATGGGTTTTGGCTATGGCTATATTTTGCTCCATAAGATGATGATGGTGGCCAAGTGCACCCTGTCCTGCATCCTGGCTTATGAAAACTTTGCGGCCCTTTGTGACATCTACAGTGTCTTCTAGTTTTCAGGTGAGAAGTTGCAGTTCACAGGTTCATTGACTTCCCGGGCAGCCTAGCTCCAGAGTCCAGGCTTGCTTATTTACTGTCAACCTTTTTCTTTTTCTTTGTCTCTGTGAATTAATGCTTTATGACCTTCTAAAGCAAACAAAAAGGAGATCCAATTAGTCAGGTCGGCACTTTGCATGGCTGCGATCCTGTGGGTAGGATGAAGGTACCTGTACCAGGGAGGTCTGCTCATGTCACTATTCCTTATTCTGCAGGTTTTCAACCACAAAACCAGAGCCTTTCATCTTCTAACTCCCGGCTACCCACTATGCAGCTTCAGCTTTGCCAGTTTAAGGCCAACCTGTTTCACCTGTGTTCTTCACGCTCACAGCCAACACATTGCTTTGAAGCAAACCTGAGCATCCTGTCTTTTCATTTACTAAGTAGTCAGTGGGTTGATCTGTCTGTATGTTTTTATTTTATCTGTGTGTGTGTGTGTGTGTGTGTGTGTGTGTGTGTGTGTGTGTGTGTGCTGCATTTGTGTTCCCCTGTGTTTGGAGACCATAGGAAAACTTCAGTTGTAGTCTTCAGGTACCACACCCAGCTTGGTCTGTTTTACAAAATTAAAAAAAAAATGCTCTTAGATTTACAGAAATTAGAACAAAGAATTTCTGAATAGCTCTCACACAAGGTCCTTTAATATCTCAGAGAGCCAAAGTATATTTGTCAAACATAAGAAATCAAAATTGGTGGCTGGAGAGATGGTATAGCAGTTAAGAGTGTTTGCTGGTCTTGCAGAGGACCCAAGTTCAGTTCCCAACACCCATGTTAGGTGGTGGCACACATAACCTATAACTTCAGCCCCAGGGGATCTGTCACCCTTTTCTGGCTCCTGTGGGCACCCACACATGTGTGGCACACAACAAATTAAAATAAATAAATAGGTACGTGAGATGATGCATATTTTGAATCCCACCACTTGAGAGACAGGGGCAGGTGGATCTCTGAGTTTGTGGCCAGTCTGGTCTACAAAGAAAGTTCCAGGACAGTCAAGGCTACTATACAGAGAAACCCTGTCTTGAAACCATTTCCCACAAAAGTAAAATAAAAAAAAGCCGAATAAAGCTAAAACCCCAAAATCTATTTAACATATGAATAATAAAAAAATAAATAGATAAAAATCAACACATTCCAGGCTGAATTGTACTTTTTATTTTTTATGTTAATGTCTCTTTTGGTTCCTAGGGTTCCAGGTTGCTTTTGGGTTGCATGTCTTTTTAGTATCCTTTGGTCTGAGTTTCTCAGACTTTTCTTCAGTTTTTGGCCTTGACAGTGTTGGGAAGAATTGGTGGAATATTTTGTAGCATATCTTCAGTTTGGGTGTATCTAGTGCATTCCACATGGACAGACAGAGCTGCAGGCTTTGAGGGAAGCATGTTACAGAAGTGAGTGTCCTCCACATTGCAGCTTGTTACAGGGGTTTGAAAACAGGGCTGGAAAGGTGGGGCAGCCGTTAAGAGAGCATACAAATCTTGTCCAGAGGACCTGAGTTCAGGTTGCTCAGTGGTTACCAGCATCTGCGTCAGGGTACTCAGCTGCCTATAGCTGCAGCTCCAGGGGATATGATGCCATTCTCTCTTCTTGCCTCTAGAGTGACACCACACGCGCGCGCGCGCGCACACACACACACACACACACACACACACACACACGTACGTCCGTGCATACACACATACATAAAAATTAAAAATTTAAATCTTTAAAAAAATCAAATAAACCTAAACTGTCTCCTTCTATTGTGGTATCTCCATTCTTGTTATCTTCTATTCTTCCCTTGACTCAACCTTTCTGTTCTCTCATGTCCTCCTCACCCCTCAAGTGAGGAAACCTTGGAAATCTATGGGACCTCCTGTAGTAGTTCAGTACTTATCCCTAGCATAGGTCTGTACTTTGGGAGCCCATTCCACACAGAAGAATACTCCCTGAGCCAAGACACACAGGGGGTGGGCCTAGGCCCTATCCCAAAGGATACAATAGACTCTGATGACACCCTATGGAAGGCCTCACCATCCAGGGGGAGCAGAAAGGATATGTGATAGGTAGGGTTTTAGTTGGGGGGAGGTGGTAGGGTAGAATGGGAGGGAGAAGGGAACTGGGATTGTCATGTAAAACAATCTTGTTTCTAATTCAAATAAAAAAATCTACAAAAAAATATCAAATAAAATTAGTGTTAACGAGAATGCAACATTCCCCACACCACCTCAGTCTATCTCCACTCTTTATTTATTTTTTACTTTTTGAGACTGGGTTTCTCTGTGTAGTTCTGGTTGTTCTGGAATTTGCTTTGTAGACCAGACTGGTCTTAGAGATCCTCCTGCCTCTGGCTCCTCAGTGCTGGGATTAAAGGTAT